ACCCAGGATTTCTGCACTTAAAAAAAGAAAAAAATTTAGTGCCCAACGGAGAGCAGATTAGGCAGCCAGGGAGGGAAGGCAGGCTCGTTCAGCACCTCAGAACTGGCACGAATGACGAAATCAAGGCTGGAGAGCCTCTGGAATGTTTGCTTTGTTCATATTTCCTCCTGAGGTGGAATTCTCTCCACCAAAAAATGCATCCCAAGAGGAACCTGGTATTTCCTGAAGCTGCCACTCCTCATGTCTGTCTCTTTGCTTTAAGTCTGTTGCTTTCTATCAACATGGCAGCCCCTAACCCACCTGTATGTGCCCTTGGTTAGAGTAAGAAACTAGGGGGTGCTATCAGTTTGCCACTGGTCTGGTTCTGTGGTCCCAACTGCACAAGACCAGCCTTGGGCATGACTTTGGGTCACGTCCCCACTCAGTTGCTTCTGCTGCTTTGGCAGTTCCGCTCTGCTGTCATGGTTTTGTTAAGTGGAATTCATATAGGTAAACAGGTACATAAGACTGGAAACTTCCTCCCCACTAACTCATATTCTTCCTCTTCGTGCTCTCATAAACAGATATCCTTTTCTCATCTCTCAAATGCAAGCATTTATTAGCTTGGTGTGGTGGCTCATGCCTGTAATCCCAGTACTTTGGGAGCCCGGGGTGGGTGGATCACCTGAGGTCAAGAGTTTGAGACCAGCCTGGCCAACACGGCAAAATACTGTCTCCACCAAAAATACAAAAAATTATCCAGGTATGGTGGCAGGCGCCTGTAATCCCAGCTACTCAGGAGGCTGAGGCAGGAGAATTGCTTGAACCCGGGAGGCAGAGGTTGAGGTGAGCCGAGATCGTGCAATTGCACTCCAGCCTGGGCAACAAGAGTGAAAAAGTCTGTCTCAAAAAACTGCCACCACCACCACCACCAACAACAAAAAACCAAGCATTTATTGAGCACATACCATAATCCAAACACTGTGCAAAGCACTTAACAATACATTAACTCACTTAATGACAGTACCTCCCAAGAGATGCTTGGGCATACATAAAGGTGAACTTTTGCAAAAGTGAACTATCCTGAAGCTTTTCTGAGTGGATCAAAGGAAGGACCAATAGGAAATCCAACACTCCTAGGTAGTGTGACCATCTGTCACAGATTGCCCAGTACTGAGGGGGTTTCACAAGATGCAGGACTTTGTGTTAAAGCCAGGATGAGTTGGTCACCCTGACTCATCCAACACACACAACAAGCCCAGATATAATAATTAATTCAAAATATATTATCCTTGCTGAGATTCAATACCCTGCTTTGAGATACAGATTTTTTACTTATGTCACAGAACAGCTAAATTCCACTTCATGAAGACAGAAATTAAACTAATCTAAGAGGCGGGCATGGTGGCTCACGCCTATAATCCCAGAATTTTGGGAGGCCAATGCTTGCAGATCACCTGAGGTCAGGAGTTCGAGACCAGCCTGGCCAATATGGTGAAACACCATCTTTACTGCAAATCCAAAAATAATTAGCCAGGAGTGGTGGTGTGTGCCTGTAATCTCAGCTACTTGGGAGGCTGAGGCAGAAGAATCGCTGGAACCTGGGAGGCAGGAGGCTGCAGTGAGCCGCCATGGTGCCACTGCACTCTAGCCTGGGCGACAGTCTCACTCTGTCACCCAGGCTGGAGTTCAATGGCATGATCTCTATTCCCTGCAACCTCCACCCCACCCGGGTTGAAGTAATTCTCCTGCCTCAGCCTCCCAAGTAGCTGGAATTACAGGCACGTGCCACCACACCTGGCTATTTTTTGTATTTTTAGTAGGGACAGGGCTTCACTATGTTGGTCAGACTGGTCTTGAACTCCTGACCTCAAGCAATCCGCCTGTCTTGGCCTCTCAAAGTGCTGGGATTACAGGTGTGAGCCACACCTGGCCTAGGTTTCTCCTCCCCTCCCCCCCCAATTTATTAGAAAAGGAATATAGCATGAAATTAAAACTCTTAGGTAGCCAGACAAGTGGTTCATGCCTGTAATCCCAGCACTTTGGGACGCCAAGGTGAGTGGATTACTTGAGGCCACGAGTTTGACACCTGCCTTGCCAACATGGTGAAACTCTGCCTCCACTAAAAATACAAAAATTAGCCAGGTGTGGTGGTGCACACTTGTAGTCCCAGCTACACAGGAGGCTGAGGCACAAGAATTGCTTGAACCTGGGAGGCAGAGGCTGCAGTGAGCTTGAGATTGTGCCATTGCACTCTGGCTGGGGCAATAGAGCAAGACTCCAACTCAAAGTAATAATAATAATAATAGGCCATGTGCAGTGGCTGATGCCTGTAATCCCAGCACTTTGGGAGGCCGAGGCAGGTGGATCACCCGAGTTCAGGAGTTCGAACCCAGCCAGTCTGACCAACACGGTGAAACCCCATCTCTACTAAAAATACAAAATTAGCCAGGCATGGTGACAGGCGCCTGTAAACCCAGCTATTTGGGAGGCTGAGGCAGGAGAATTGCTGGAACCTGGGAGGCAGAGGTTGCAGTGTGCCGAGATCTTGCCATTACACTCTAGCCTGGGCAACAAGAGCAAAACTCCATCTCAAATAATAATAATAGGTTAAAAAAATGGAAAATATTACAAATCAAGGTTTGCTTAATGTAATACTTTTTTTGGTGTGTGTATGAGAAAAAGAGACTTTTGATCCAAGATGGCTGATCACTAGCAGCTCGGGATTGTAGCTCCCAGTGAAAGCACAAAGAATGAGAGGACGCCACACCTTCACATGAATTCTTGTTGCTCACACACCAGGCGATTCCCAGCGGAGGAGCCCCACGGGTCGCCAGCGCGACTCTTGTGGCCGGCGAGGCGGTTTTGCCAGCGCCTCGGAGCATCGGTTCTTGGTGCAGAGTCAGAAAAGCACCATCAATCTTAACGCCGCTGATTTAGTCGGCGCAGTGGGTTGCTCAGATTTTGGCGCTGAGAATCAATAAGTTGGACGTCCACTCAGAAACCCAATTACAAAGACGGTAATTATAAAGACCACAGATGGATACATCTACAACGAAGGGAAGAAAACAGCCAAAAAGGGCTGAGAATACCCAAGATCAGAACGCCTCTCCCTCAGCGGGGGATCACAGTTCCTCATCAGCAACGGAACAAGGCTTGATGGAGAACGAGTGTGTTCCAATTACAGAAGCAGGCTTCAAAATGTGGATAATGAGAAATTTCTGTGAATTAAAAGAACTTGTTATAACACAATCTAAATAAACTAAGCACTTTGAAAAAAGGTTTGACGAAATGTTAACAAGAATACACAATTTAGAGAGGAATATAAGTGAATTGATGGAGCTGAAAAACACAATACGAGAACTACGTGAAGTATGCACGAGTTTTAACAGCCGAATTGATCAAGCAGAAGAAAGGATATCAGAGGTCGAAGACCAACTCAATGAAATAAAACAAGAAGACAAGATTAGAGAAAAAAGGATAAAAAGGAATGAACAAAGTCTCCAAGAAATATGGGACTATGTGAAAAGACCTAATCTACGCTTGATAGGTGTACCTGAATGTGACGAAGAGAATGAATCCAAGCTGGAAAATATGCTTCAGGACATTATTCAGGAAAATTTTCCCAACCTAGTAAGGCAGGATAATATACAACTCCAGGTAATACAGAGAACACCACAAAGATATTCCTCAAGAAGAGCAACTCCAAGGCACATAATCGTCAGATTCACCAGGGTTGAAATGAAGGAGAAAATACTAAGGGCAGCCAGAGAGAAAGGTCAGGTTGCCCACAAAGGGAAGCCTATCAGACTTACAGCAGATCTCTCAGCAGAAACCCTACAAGCCAGAAGAGAGTGGGGACCAATATTCAACATCCTTAAAGAAAAGAACTTTCAACCAAGAATTTCACATCCAGCCAAACTAAGCTTCATAAGTGAAGGAAAAATAAAGTTTTTTGTGAACAAGCAAGCACTCAGAGAATTCATCACCACCAGGCCTGCTTTACAAGAGCTTCTGAAAGAACCACTACACATAGAAAGGAACAAACGGTATCAGCCTTTCTAAAAAATACCAAAAAGAGCATGAATATAATGAAGAATTTACATCAACTAATGGGCAAAATAGCCAGTTAATATTAAATGGCAGTATTAAACTCACATATATCATTATTAATTCTAAATTTAAATTGACTAAATCCCCCAATCCAAAGACAGACAGGCAATTTGAATAAAAAACTAAAACCCATCAGTATGCTGCATCCAGACCCATCTCATATTCAAGGATACACAAAGACTCAAAACAAGGGATGGAGAAAGATTTACCAACCAGAGAGCTAAAATGTATAAATAAAAAGCAGAAGTTACAATTTTTGCCTCTGATAAAATAGTCGTTAAAGCAACAAAGATCAAAAGAAGCAAAGAAGGACATTATATAATGATAAAAGGATCAATGCAACAACAAGAAGAGCTAAAGATCCTAAATATATATGCACCCAATACAGGAATACCCAGACATTCAAGACTTATAAAGAGACTTAGACTCCCACACAATAATAGTGGGAGACTTCAACATTAATATTAGACAGATCAATGAGACAGAAAACAAAGATATCCAGGACTTGAACTCAGATCTGGAACAAGTAAACGTAATTAACATTTATAGAACTCTCCACTTTAAATACACAAAATATACACTCTTATCAGTACCACATCATATCAACTTAGAAGTTTAAACGAAATCTTGGTTGGCTCCTTGTTTGTTATTCTCTTCCCTCATTTTCTTTCATGTCCCCATTATTAAGGACAATTATAGGCATACCCATATTTAGACTGCATTCTAGCCCGGGCAATAAAGCAATACCCCCATCCTCTCTCTCTCTTCCTCTTTCTCTTTCTTCCTCTTCTTTATTCTTTTTCCTATTATATATAAAAAAATCTAATCTCCTTTCCTTCTGTCCCACCTTTCCTCCCCATTCTCTCTTCTTATCTAAAAAAAAAAAAAAAGAAAGAAAAAAAGAAAAAGGAGAAAAAGAGACTTTATTAGGCACAGAGGGCGACTGATGGGCAGTTACAAAATGGCTACTGAGTAGCACCCCAGGGGAAGGAAGGGCAGAGGAGTGTGTGTTCTCTCTGCCTTCTCCCTTCAAGGCTGCATACGAATGGCCCCATCCAGCCGGATGACCTCTCCATTGAGGAATGGGTTCTCGATGATGGCCTGTACCAGATGAGCATACTCAGCAGGGTCACCCAGTCGGTTAGGAAAGGGTACTTGGCTGGCCAAGAAGTTTCGTACCTTCTCTGGGAGGGTGATCAGCAGTGGGGTGCCAAACAGACCTGGAGCAATGGTCATCACCCGGATACCTATGGGAGCCAAATCCCGAGCAATGGGCAGTGTCATGCCCACTATTCCCCCCTTAGAAGCAGAGTATGCAGCTTGTCCAACCTGACCCTCGAAGGCAGCCACACTGGCAGTGTTAATGATGACCCCACGTTGGCCTCCCTGGTCTGGTTCATTCTGGCCCATCTCACCAGCCACCAGGCGGATCACATTGAAGGTGCCCATGAGATTCACATTAAGAACTCGCTGGAAGTCTTCCAAGGTATGGGCCTGGCTTTTCTTTAAGTTGTATGTCTTGATAGCCACTGCGATGCCTGCACAGTTGACAGCTACATCCACACGGCCAAACTTTTCTTGAGACGGAGTTTTTGCTCTTGTTACCCAGGCTGGAGTGCAATGGCGCGATCTCGGCTCACCGCAACCTCCGCCTCCTGGGTTCAGGCAATTCTCCTGCCTCAGCCTCCTGAGTAGCTGGAATTACAGGCACGTGCCACCATGCCCAGCTAATTTTTTGTATTTTTAGTAGAGACGGGGTTTCACCATGTTGACCAGGATGGTCTCGATCTCTCGACCTCGTGATCCACCCGCCTCGGCCTCCCAAAGTGCTGGGATTACAGGCTTGAGCCACCGCGCCCGGCCCAAACTTTTCTTTTGCTAGAGCCAGAGCTGTTTGCACATCCTTCTCAGAAGTCACATCGGCTGGGGCGAAAACGCAGCTGTTTCCTAACTTCTTGGCCTGGGCCTCCCCACCTGAGTTGGGCAGGTCCAGAAGCACAGCAGAGGCTCCCTGCCCCACTAGTCGCTCCGCGGTGGCCAGGCCCAGACCCGAGGCTCCTCCGGTTATTACCGCCACCAGGCCCTGGACGCTCCGACACGCTGCAGCCATCTTTGCGTCCGCCCAATAAGGACTTTCTCAAGAAAAATTAAGGTGTGTATCCTTTCCTCTCCTTCCCCTTAGGAAAGTAAGATTTATTGAACATTTACTATACAACAAGCACTTGGGAAGCATTTACACGACATAGTTGCACACTTAATTCCCACAACCCTATGATATCTATGAGCACTATTATTTCCTTTTGAAGGTGAAGACTGAAGCTTGGAGACCTTGGGTAACCTGCCCAAGGTTACCAAGAGCGTGACTAGGCCAGGAGTGAAGACCAGTCTGTCCAGTTCTAAGCTCGCTCTTGGACTTTCTGCTGTAGAAACCCGCTGGGGTACCAGCAGCTGTACCTGGGGAAGGACAAAGCTCAGGAAACTTCCAGAAGTGACCCAGGCTGGGTTCTGAAAGACAAACATGCCTTCGCCAGTTAGGAAAAGGGAGGAAGCAACCCATGCAAAGGCACGCACGTTAGACCGGCAAATCTCTTCGGGTTTTTACCCCTTCAACGTTTGGGTGAAAATTTAAGTGTAGATTTGGGGCGCCTCAGGGGCCTGTAGCTCGCCCAACATCCCCTCGCCTCGCTGCTTGGACATCTCTCCTCCGCTGCCCTTCGTTCCCTGCACCCCACCGTCCGCGGGATAAAAGCAAAGGCGATGCCCACAGACAACCGGCATGGGGGAAGCTGGGGGGACTGGGAAAAGTGACCTCGAGAGTCACATCCACAGGGGTTCGCCCTCTTTTCACACTCTAGCGCTCACTCTGTCCTTCCTTCTGGATTCCGGCTCAGGAGAAGAGCGCCGCCAGGACCCCAGGAAGCCGCGGCCGCCACAACCTCAAGCAGACGCTGCCTGGGGCGCTCATTTACCAGCCACCGCGCCTGCGCAGACCTGCGTTTCCCGAGCCAGCGCGAGAAGGGCGGAGCTTGAGACGGGCTGGCCGAGCAGAAGGAGACCGGGGGGGGGGCTGGGCCGCTATTCACCAATAGAAAAGGGAGATCGAGAGCCACGTGCCCATAAGAAAACCAATTACAATCAAATCCTCGGGCCAGGGGTGGGGGGCGGTGGACTAGTTTGACCCGGTCGGGCAGGCAGCATCACGTGACATGAAAAGGTAAATACAGCCACGTGGCTTTTTCTTCTTGGCTTCGGCGAACCGTTATGTCACACTGTGCCTTCGCTGAACTATTATTTAATGAACATATGTGATGCAATAGACACTGTGAAGATACCGTGGTTGCTAGAATTTGTAATCTCTCCATCAAATTACTCTGTCCAGCTTATTTCCTTGTTTCTTCATTCTAGCCGTTCAACTGATTTCCCGTATAGTACTTTCATACAAATGCTCATTTAAAGATTGTTAAGAGAATTTATTCTGTCTCTCACAAGCCTTGATAATGAAAAAGAGGTTATTTTGTTTTTGTTTGTTTGTTTGCTTTATTATTATTATTATTATTTTCTTGAGACGGAGTTTAGCTCTTGTTGCCCAGGCTAGAGTGCAATGGTGCGATCTCGGCTCACTGCAACCTCCGCCTCCCGGGTTCAAGCGATTCTCCTGCCTCAGCCTCCCGAGTAGCTGGGATTACAGGCATGCGCCACCACGCCCCGCTAATTTTTTTTTTTTTTTTTTTTGAGACGGAGTTTCGCTCTTGTTACCCAGGCTGGAGTGCAATGGCGCGATCTCGGCTCACCGCAACCTCCGCCTCCTGGGTTCAGGCAATTCTCCTGCCTCAGCCGCCTGAGTAGCTGGGATTATAGGCACGCGCCACCATGCCCAGCTAATTTTTTGTATTTTTAGTAGAGACGGGGTTTCACCATGTTGACCAGGTTGGTCTCGATCTCTCGACCTCGTGATCCACCCGCCTCGGCCTCCCAAAGTGCTGGGATTACAGGCTTGAGCCACCGCGCCCGGCTAATTTTGTCTTTTTAGTAGAAACAGGTTTTCTCCATTTTAGTCAGGCTGGTCTCCAATTCCTGACCTCAGGTGATCCGCCCACCTTGGCCTCCCAAAGTGTTGGGATTACAGGCGTAAGCCACCGTGCCTGGCTTGTTTGCTTTTTTCTTTTTCTTTGTCTCCCTTCCTCCCTCCCTCCCTTCCTTCCTTCCTCTCTCTCTTTCCTTCCTTCCTTCTTTCCTTTCTTTTTATTTCTTTCCTTCTTTCTTTCTCTCTCTCTCTCTTTCTTTCTTTGAGACAGTCTCATTTTATCACCCAGGCTGAAGTGCAGTCTTACTGCAGCCTCAACCTTCTGGGCTCAGGTAATACTCCCATCTCAGCCTCCTGAGTAGCTGGGACTACAGCCACACACCACCTTGCTAATTTTTTTACAGAGAGGGTTTCACTGGTTTCCCAGGCTGGACTCAAGTAAGCTGTCTCGATTTCTCAGAGTGCTGGGATTTACAGGCCTGAGCCACCACGCCTAGTCCAAGAGATAGATTTTTACATCAGAGGATATCTTTAGAGCCTTCAGTAGCCCTGTGACTGTTCTCTCTCTTGTTTATTCTGTTACCTAAAAAAAAAAAAAAAAAAAAAAAAAAAAAGAAAGAAAGAAAGAAGTAAGAACCATTCTCCTAAAAGCCCACTTTTCTTCGATCCAACAGGGACTTCCAATTTCTTTCTGCCAAAGAAATACTTTTTTATGGCCTTCACAGTTCGTTGAAGAATAAGGCCAGGTCTAATTTGATTTTGCATCCCTTGAAATTCTTCATAGCACAGTATGCAAAAAAAGGGTTCTTCAGTCTATGCTTGTTGAATTTGAATTTGAGAACAGACCCATCTTACCTGCCAAAGAATCAAAAAGACCCTGAGCACTGATGTGACTAACACTTCATTTAGCATTCAGCAATAATTTATTGAGTGTCTCCTACAGGCAGGTAGAGAAACAAAAGTGGCTAAGACACCTCACTCTGCCTTCAACAAGTTCATAATCTGATAGCACATCTCCTCTGAATTATCTAGATTTGGGTTCCAAGGTCAGCTATGCCACCCAGGAATGAGTGACTTTTGGCAATCCCTTGCACCTTTAAGCCAGTTTCCTCATCTGTAAGTTGTGGATATAACAGTACCTACAACTATAGAACTTGGAAGACAAGATAATTGTGCAAAAGAAATGACACCTCTGGAGCATACAGCATATCACATATAAGGATGCCAGTTTGAGGAGTAGGAACAAAAGTCTCAGAGAAGACTGAATTGTAGACAGATACTAACATTAAATTATTGTCTTGTGGCCAGACCCAAATACATTATATCATCAACATTTTGTATGGTGCCTGGCCCAGAGTAAGTGTTCAAATAATCATTGAATGGATGAATAAGATGAGGGAGAAATTATGCCAAAAGATAAGTCCTCATACACTCCCCTCTTCAAATGGAAGAAGGTCTTTTACTGCCCACCACATACCCAGAAGTGGTGGCTGTTCCGTCCATCGCCAGTGGTCCGAAACTGCTCAGTGGTACTTTTTCATAGTTCCTATGGTCTTTTCTCAACTTTTCTTTTCTTTTTGAGATGGAGTCTTGCTCTGTCACCCAGGCTGCAATGCAGTGGTACGATCTCGGCTCACTGCAACCTCCGACACCCAGGTTCAAGTGATTCATCTGTCTCAACCTCCCGAGTAACTGGGACTATGGGCACACGCCACCATGCCCAGCTTGTTAATGTTTATTATATTTCATGACTACGATATCAAAATTAGCTCGTAGAGTGTGGTGAAGTCTTTTATGGGTTTAGAAAAGAAAATCATTGTAGAAAAATGGTTTAATACAGTTGAAAATGGAGGCAGAATCATGAGACAGGAGCAAGATCTGGCTCAAACTAAAGCCTACCACTTCAGGCAGGGAAGGGTAGTGGTTTGTTGTCAGACTTGCCCGGTTCAAATTTCTTCTCTGCTTCTTGCTGGATGACAGCATCAGAAAAGTGACCACTCCTATTGAACCTCAGCTTAGGAAAAGAAGATTTGCTATCAGTGCCAATACCTCATAGGGCTGTCAAGTCGATCTATGGACACAGTCCTCGTACAGGATAAATAGTCAGTAAATGGTGATTGTTCATCATTATTCTGATTTCAAGGTGCTTGCTTGGTTCCTGGAAGTGTCCTTCTAATTCAGCTTAGCTTCCAAGGCTGGATGAAAGCATGTTCACAAAAGACTAGGCAGAGTAGCCAGGTGTGGTGGCTCACTCCTGTAATCCCAGCATTTTATGAGGCAGAGGTGGCCTGAATGCTTGAGCTCAGGAGTTTGAGACCAGCTTGGGCAACACGGTGAAATGTTGTCTCTACAAAAAATGCAGCCGGGCGCTGTGGCTCACGCCTGTAATCCCAGCACTTTGGGAGGCCGAGGCGGGTGGATCACGAGGTCAAGAGAACGAGACCATCCTTGTCAACATGGTGAAACCCCATCACTACTAAAAATGCAAAAAAAAAATTAGCTGGGCATGGTGGCGCGTGCCTGTAATCCCAGCTACTCGGGAGGCTGAGGCAGGAGAATTCTCTGAACCCAGGAGGCGGAGGTTGCAGTGAGCCGAGATCGGGCCATTGCACTCCAGCCTGGGTAACAAGAGCGAAACTCCGTCTCAAAAAAAAAAAAAAAAAAAAAAAAAATGCAAAAACCAGCCAGGCATGGTGGTACACATTTGTGGTTCCAGCTACTCAGGAAGCTGAGGTGGGAGGATTGCTTGAGCCCGGGAGGTGGAGGTTGCAGTGAAATGAGATTGCATCACTGCACTCCAGCCTGGGTGACAGAGTGTGATCTTGTCTCAAAAAAATAAAAGTAAGCAAAGGACTAGGCAGAGACCTAGTTTATAGACAGGGAATAAAAAAAAGCGATCTCCAAACATGAGGTCTTTCAACAAGGTGCTTTATTGGAGGACACAGTGTGAGATGAGCAGCTAGCGGCGATGCTTTTCAGAGGTGAGAGTCAAGTCTTACAATACTTCTTGGTGTCCAGGTTCTTGTGTTCCTTGTTATATGGAGCTTTTGAAAAGCAGATGGCAGCATTGCGGTCGCAGTTGCAAATGAAGGCCTCGCACTCTTTGTTTTTGCCTGGAGAGGGACAAGAGGAGAGGACTGAGCCAAGGTGGACCCTGCTTTGTATAATCCAGGGGCAAGAAGAATTGATTGGAATAAGCTGGCAGCCATTCCACTGATGTACATTTAGGGTTGACAGATTAGGTGAATAAAATACATGAGGATGCCCAGTTAAATTTGACTTTCAGATAAACAATGAATGCAATATTTGGGACATAGACCGAAAAAATTAGCCATTGTTTATCTGAAAGTCAGATTTATCTGGGCATCTTGTGTGTGTGTTGTGTGTGTGTGTGTGTTTGAGACGGAGTTTCGTTCTTGTTGCCTAGGCTGGAGTATGGTGGGGTGATCTCAGCTTACTGCAACTTCCGCCTTCTGGGTTCAAGCGATACTTCTGCCTCAGCCTCCTGAGTAGCTGGGACTACAGGTGCCTGCCACCACACCTGGCTAATATTTGTATTTTTTTTTTTTTTTTTTTTTTTTGAGATGGAGTTTCGCTCTTGTTGCCCAGGCTGGAGTGCAATGGTGTGATCTCGGCTCACCGCAACCTCCGCCTCTTGGGTTCAGGCAATTCTCCTGCCTCAGCCTCCTGTGTAGCTGGGATTACAGGCATGTGCCACCGTGCCCAGCTAATTTTTTTGTATTTTTAGTAGAGACGGGGTTTCACCATGTTGACCAGGATGGTCTCGATCTCTTGACCTCGTGATCCACCCGCCTCAGCCTCCCAAAGTGCTGGGATTACAGGCTTGAGCCACCGTGCCCGGCTATATTTGTATTTTTAGTAGAGAAGGGGTTTCACTATCTTGGCCAGGCTGGTCTCGAACTCCAGACCTCAAGTGATCTGCCTGCTTGGGCCTCCCAAAATGTGGGGATACAGGTGTGAACCACCACTCCCAGCCTAGTTTTTCTGCTTTAAAGCACATATTTAAAAAATTATGGGCCAGGCGCGGTGGCTCAAGTCTGTAATCCCAGCACTTTGGGAGGCCGAGGCGGGTGGATCACGAGGTCAACAGATCGAGACCATGCTGGTCAACATGGTGAAACCCCGTCACTACTAAAAATACAAAAAATTAGCTGGGCATGGTGGCGCGTGCCTGTAATCCCAGCTACTCAGGAGGCTGAGGCAGGAGAATTGCTTGAACCCAGGAGGCGGAGGTTGCGGTGAGCTGAGATCGCGCCATTGCACTCCAGCCTGGGTTACAAGAGCGAAACTCCGTCTCAAAAAAAAAAAAAAATTATGGAATGTCCTTAAATGGAATATTACATAGGCATTTAGAAAAATTAAGTATGCCTGCACATGGAAACTTTCCCAAATAAAAAAAGCTAGTGTATGCCAAACAAAATCTGGAAGAATATGTATCTAACTGGTTATCTTTGGGTGGTAGGATTATAGATGCCTTCTGTTTTCCATAATAGATATTTACGTAGAGTTTGAAGTTGCATTCCTTTTGGCTTCTTTACTTTTATAACCAAAAGAAACAGTAAGATTACATTTAAAATGCATTTGAACTTTATTATATATAATTTATGTATCTCTGCTTGCTGTCAACAATCTTATTAGTTTTGTTTCTCTCCGATCCTTTATTTTATTTTATTTTATTAATTTTTTGAGACAGAGTCTCCCTCTGTCACCCAGGCTGGAGTGCAGTGGTGTGATCTCAGCTCACTGTAACCTCCACCTCCCAGGTACAAGCGATTCTCCTGCATCAGCCTCCTGAGTAGCTGGGACTACAGGGTGCATCACCACATCGGCTAATTTTTAGTAGAGATGGGGTTTCACCATATTTGCCAGGCTGGTCTTGAACTCCTGACCTCAAGTGACCTGCCCACCTTGGCTTCCCAAAGTACTGTGATTACAGGTTTGAGTCACTGTGCCTAGCTAAGGTTTTTTGTTTGTTTGTTTGTTTGCTTGCTTGCTTGCTTTTTTTTTTTTTTTTTTTGAAACGGAGTTTCGCTCTTGTTACCCAGGCTGGAGTGCAATGGCGCGATCTCGGCTCACCGCAACCTCCGCCTCCTGGGTTCAGGCAATTCTCCTGCCTCAGCTTCCTGAGTAGCTGGGATTACAGGCATGCACCACCATGCCCAGCTAATTTTTTGTATTTTTAGTAGAGACGGGGTTTCACCATGTTGACCAGGATGGTCTCGATCTCTTGACCTCGTGATCCACCCGCCTCGGCCTCCCAAAGTGCTGGGATTACAGGCGTGAGCCACCGCGCCCGGCCCTTGCTTGCTTTTTTAAAGATGGAGTCTTGCTCTATCGCCCAGACTGGAGTGCAGTGTTGTAATCTCAGCTCACTGCAACCTCCGCCCCTAGATTCAAGCAATTCTCTTGCCTCAGCCTCCTGAGTAGCTGGGACTACAGGCACGTGCTACTACACCTGGCTAATTTTTTGTAGTAGAGACGGGTTTCATCCTGTTAGCCAGGATGGATGGTCTTGATCTCCTGACCTCGTGATCCACCCACCTTAGCCTTCCAAAGTGTTGGGATTACAGGCTTGAGCCACCATGTCTGACCTGAGATATTTTTAATTAATACAAACAAACATCCTCTAATGCAGATTTCTTGTCCTAGTTGCAAACATTAAAAAGAATTCCGTGCGTGTGTGTGCGCGCGCGCATGCGTGTGTGTATTTCCCTGGGGAGAGGGTTCATGGTTTTCATCAGATTTGTAAACTTGGCCTTTCTAAAGTGGAGCAGGAGCATGTGTAAGCAAATTATTCAGTGATTAAAATAGTAACAAATAAAAACGGTAACAATAAAGGTTTGAGGCAATATGTAAAAGTCATGACTAGGTGGTAAGTGGGAAAAGGCAGAATGCAAGATCGTATTTAAAAAAGAAAAGGAAAGTTTATATCTAAGCTATGTATTTATCAAATATTTATTGAGCACCTACTATTTGCCAGGCACTACTCTAGATCTGGGGATATAGCAATAAAGAAAACAGACAGTAATCAGCCAGGCATGGTGGTTCATTCCTGTAATTACAGCTAGTCAGCAGACTGATGCAGGAGAATTGTCTGAACCTGCGAGGCGGAGGTTTCAGTGAGCTGAGATTGCACCACTGCACTCCAGCCTCAGTGATGGATCGAGACTCAAAAAAGAAAGGAAGAAAATAGACAGTAATCCCTGTCCTGTGGATCTTACAGTCTATTGGAAAGATGGAAAATAAATAAATAAGTGGCCAGGAATGGCGGCTTACTCCTGTAATCCCAGCACTTTGGGAGGCCAAGGTGGGAAGATTGCTTGAAGCCAGGAGTTCAAGACCAGCCTGGCCAATGTAGTAAGACCCAGTCTCTACAAAACAAATTTAAAATTAGCCAGGCATGGTGGTGCAGGCCTGTAGTCCCAGCTACACTGGAGGCTGAGACTAGGGGATCCCTTGAGCTCAGGAGGTTCAGGCTGCAGTGGGCTATGGTTGCAGTGCTGTTCTCCTGCTGCAGTGACAGAGTGAGACCCTGTCTCTAAACAAAAACAAAACAAGGCTGGGTGTGGTGACTCATGCCTGCAGTCTCAGCTACTCAGGAGGCTGAGGCAGGAGAAACATCTGAACCCAGCAGGCGGGGGTTGCCATGATCACGCCACTGCACTCCAGCCTGGGTGACAGAGTGAGACTCCATCTCAAAAAAACCCAACCCAACAACGACAGCAAAAAACCCATCACCACTTGCAATCTTCGTGATCTTGGGCAAATAGCTCAGCCTCTGAGCCTCAGTTTTCTTTCTTTCTTTTTTTTTTTTAAATGAGATGGCGTTTTGCCATTTTGGACGGGCTGGTTTCAAACTCCTGACCTCAAGTGATCCACCCGCCTCTGCCTCCCAAAGTGCTGGGATTACAGGCATGAGCTATCACGCCCGGCCCCTCAGTTTTCTTTCCTTTTCTTTCTTTCTTTCTTTTTTTTTTTTTTGAGATGGAGTTTCCGCTCTTGTTGCCCAGGCTGGAGTGCAGTGGCACGATCTTGGCTCACCACAACCTCCACCTCCTGGGTTCAGATGTTTCTCCTGCCTCAGCCTCCCAAATAGCTGGGATTACAGGCACGCACCACCATGCTCGGCTAATTTTGTAATTTTAGTAGAGACAGGGTTTCTCCAGGTTGATCAGGCTGGTCTTGAACTCCTGACCTCAGGTGATCTGCCTGCCTCAGCCTCTCAAAGTGCTGAGATTACAGGCGTGAGCCACCACACCCAGCCTGAGCCTCAGTTTTCTTATCTGGTAAGTGGGGATAATAATTGTACCTATCCCATAGTGTTGTTGTGAGGGTTAAAGGAGACACTGTCCAGCACCGAGAAAATTACCACTAAATGATGGCTGTTAGTACTGTTATTGCCCTTGGCCTACTGAGAACCTACTAGAATTCATAGGTCAAGGAAGGGGTAAACCTACTGCTACAGGTGACTTCAGAGCCAGAGCACGAGTATGAGTAGGTATTGGTGTACGGGTTGTCCAGAAGAAATTTACAGCTGTCCAGCTTCTTGGCCTGGTCGTAGCAGTGGTCATGTGTCTGGCAGCACCTGGAAAGTGGGAGGGACAGTTGAAACAGGAGTAAGGGCAGAGCAGTAGGTCAGCCCTCACCTGCTCTCTCTCAGGAAAGGTGGCGATGACTTCACCAAGATGCTCTGGGAGAAATGGTCCTATGCCTTGAAAAAATATAAATCCTTTTTATCATATGTTTATTGGGGGCAATTTTTTTTTTTTGTTTTTTGTTTTGTTTTGTTTTGTTTTGTGTTTTGTGTTTTGTGTTGTTTTTTTTTTTGTTTTTTGAGACAGGGTCTCCCACTGTTGCCTAGGCTGGAGTGCAGTGGCAGGATCTTGGCTCACTGCAACCTCCGACTCCTGGGCTCAAGCGATTCTTCCGCTTCAGCCTCCCGAGTAGCTGGGACAACAGGCGAGTGCCACCACGCCCGGCTAACTATTTTGTATTTTTAGTAGAGACGGAGTTTCATCATGTTGGCCAGGATGGTCTCGATCTCTTGACCTCCTAATTCCCCCGCCTCAGCCTCCCAAAGTGCTGAGATTACTGGCGTGAGCCACCGCGTCCGGCCCCTGAAAGCGATTTTTAACATGGTTGCAAGAATACAGTAAAATCCTGTATTCGGAAGGTGCAGTGACACTTTAACCACTGCTGGAAAAATGACACGTGGATTGCCGCTGCGACGTTTACTGGTGCCATATTCGGCCACTGGAGGGCAGCGTCGCCCACTGTTTTGTACGTCGGGCGTTGTTTAGATCTCTTAACGAGGAGCATTCGCTGCAGGGTTCTCTTGGAACACGTTTCTTTATAAGACAAGAGGTGAAAATATGTATCCTTAACAAATATGCAAGTCCCCTTTGTATGCCTAGTGAGATCCTTGGCTTGTGCCCTCCCTGCCCCCAGCAGCCACTCCAGTTTCCCTCCAGGTGGATTACTCACGTGTCCAATTCATCCACAGGGGTGCCTGAGCCCCCCAAGCCACAGTAGCAGCCGTAGTTGTTGTATTCCAACAAGGGGTCACTCCCCGGGATCGTGCACTTGATCATTTTGCGGAACTGCCACAAGGCCCGAGGGCTGACGCCGCTCTCGGCGGCGGCCACTGCAAAAAGACATGACCAGAGTTCAAATCCGTCTGCCAGCACCCGGGGAACTCACTGCCTGCCTGTCCCTCAGGCCCCACACTGCCTCCCTGATCCCTGCCAGCTGCCTCCTCCGAAGACCACTGGCCCTGGCAAAGTGAAAGTGGGTAGAGGTGTTATTTGTTTGTTTTTGAAAAGGAGTCTCGCTGTGTCGCCCAGGCTGTGTCGCCCAGGCTGGAGCGCAGTGGCATGAATTCAGCTTGCTGCAACCTCCACCCCCCGAGTTCAAGCAATTCTCCTGCCTCAGCCTCCGGAGCAGCTGGGACTACAGGCGTGTGTCACCACACCCAGCTAATTTTTGTATTTTTAGTAGAGACAGGGTTTCACCAAGTCGGACAGGATGGTCTTTATCTCTTGACCTCCGGATCTACCCGCCTTGGCCTCCCAAAGTGCTGGGATTACAGGTGTGACCCACCATGCCTGGCTGAGGGTTTTTTTTCTTTTAAATGAAAACTTATATATAAAGTTTATATGTGTATATGTATAGGTACACACACACACACACACACATTCTTCTTTTTGGCTTTCACTCTGTCACTCAGGCTGGAGTGCAGTGGTATGATCGTGGCTCACTGCAACCTCCCGGTGGGAGTTCAAGCCATCCCCCGCCTCAGCCTCCCAAGTAGCTGGGACTACAAGCACCAGCCACCACACCCCAGTAATTTTTTGTATTGTCTGTAGATACAGGATTTTCCCATATATTCTAGGTTGGTCTCTGGGTTCCTAGGCTCAAGGGATCTTTCCGACTCAGACTCCCACAGTGGACGAGGATTACAGGCATGTGTCATCAAGCCAGGCCAGAGAGTTTAAAACTATCTGCATTGTTTATCCAGTTAATTTTTTTTTTTTTTTTTTTTGGAGACGGAGTTTTCCTTTTATTGCCCAGGCTGGAGGGCAGTGGCGTGATCCCGGCTCACCGCAATCTCCACCTTCCAGATTCAAGTGACTCTCCTGCCTCAGCCTCTCTCAGCTGGGATTACAGACATGCACCACCACACCTGGTTAATTTTGTATTTTTAGTAGAGATGGGGTTTCTCCCTGTTGGTCAGGCTGGTCTTGAACTCCCAACCTCAGGTGATTCACCCGCCTCAGCCTTCCAAAGTGCTAGGATTACAGGCGTGAGCCACTGCACCTGGCCTATCCAGTGACTATTTATTAAGCACTTACTACATGCCAAGCTCTGACCTAGGAGCTAGAGATATAGCAGCAGACAGATATAATAATAATAAATCTCTAACCTCACAGAGCTTATAACCTAGTGGGAGAGAAAAACAATAAATAATAAATGTGGTAAGTCAGGAAACGATACTGCATTAAAAAGGGGAAAAATAGAGCTGGATGAGGCGAATCTAAAAGGGAGGTTACCCAGCCTGGCCAACATGGTGAAACTCCATCTCTACCAAAAAAATACAAAAACATTAGCCAGGTGTGGTGGCGCATGCCAGCTACTTGAGAGCTACAAGTCCCAGCTACTTGAGAGGCTGAGGCAAGAGAATCATGAACCCAGGAGGCAGAGGTTGTAGTGATCTGAGATCACACCACTGTACTCCAGCCTGGGCGACAGAGCCCCTGTCTCAAAAATAAAATAAAGTAATAAAATAAAATGTAAAATGGAGATTGGTTCAATTACTTATTTGACTAAGGTAGGAGGATCGCTTGAGCCCGTGAGTTGGAAGCTGCAGGGAGCTACGATTCCGCCACTGAACTACAAAACCCTGCCTGGAAAAAAGAAAATACAGGCAGGCTTTCTTAGCTCAGGCAGTCTGAGTTCAGACTTGCAGGATGAAAAGGTGCCAGCCTTGAGGGAACCCTAATAGAGGAGCTCGTAAGCCCCACTGGGAACCTCGAATTGAGACTGCGGGCCTGGCCAGCCCTGTCTGCTGTGGTCTGTGGCCCCCATTCCGGAGGAGTGAGATCTCAGCTCACTTGGGAGAGGGGCGGGCAGAGCGGGGGAGACTTGCCTACCTGCGAGCAGCACAGCCAGCACAAGGAGTTTCATCTTGCAGTCGAAGTGAGAAGAGAACTGAGATGACCAGTCCTCCCCTGTTTATAATCAGTCTCCACACCCTCGTCCTGAGATAAGGCTGGAGTGTTTGCTTTGCTCTTGGCTGAGTCTAGGGCTGGCCTTGAATCTATCTGTCTTGGGAATGACCCTGACAATTTGTCAGCATGGGAGCACTGGAAAAAAAATGTTACTCATTTTTCCTTAACAACTGTGAACCAAAGGGATGGTTTCTGAATTTTCAGATCTTAGCATCTTGACCCTCATACCTACCACTTTGTATTAAGTCCAACTTCATGGGCTGGTTGGGGGAAAGCAAAGCTGTCAGTTCAGTCAGACGCTGGGATACGGGAGACTAGAAGGAAGTGCAGCCCGGGCAATATAGAGAGACCTCATCTCTAAAAAAAAAATGTTGACTGGGCGCAGTGGCTCATGCCTGTAATCCCAATGCTTCGGGAAGCCAAGGTGGGTGAATCAACTGAGGTCAGGAGTTCGAGACCAGCCTGACATGTTGAAATCCTGTCTCTACTAAAAATACAGAAATTAGCTGGGCATGGTGTGCCTGTAATCCCAGCTACTCGGGAGGCTGAGGCAGGAAATTGCTTGAACCCAGGAGACGTGAGCCACTGCGCCCGGCCACAGATTTTATTTTTTCCCACCACGCCAATACCACTTCCCTCCACAGAGTGAGTTTGTGAGAAAAACCTGGGCTTTGGATTCCAAAGGTCGGGGTCTGACTTATAAAATAATAATGGGCTTTAGAACTGTCATATCAATTGTCTATATGATATTGTTTAGGTGAAATTCACATATCATTAACCAAGTTTAAATAAACAATTTCGTGGCATTTAGTACATTCACAATGTTGTGCAACCATCACGTCTGTGGGGTTCCAGAACATTTTTATCACCCCAGAAGGAAACCCTGTACCCATTAGAAGTCATGCTCCCTCAGCCCTAGTAACTGCTAATCTGCTTCTCTCTCTCTCTCTCTCTCTCTTTTTTTTTGAGATGGAATTTTGCTCTTGTTGCCCAGGCTAGAGTGCAATGGTGTGATCTTGGCTCAATGCAACCTCTGCCTCCCAGGTTCAAGCAATTCTCCTGCCTCAGCCTCCTGTGTAGCTGGGATCACAGGCATGCACCACCATGCCTGGCTAATTTTGGTATTTTTATTAGAGAGAGGGTTTTGCCATGTTGGCCAGGCTGGTCTCAAACTCCTGGCCTCAAGTGATCTGCCCACCTCAGTCTCCCAAAGTGCTGGAAATATAGGTGTGAGCCACCATACCTGGCTATGAATTACTATTAAGTAAGTGCTAACTCCATCCCAGGTCCCATATGCTAAGAACTGGCATAAAGCTTGATGTAGGTCCAATTACAAACTCCATTTTACAGAGAAGACAGCTGAGGCTGAGAGAGGTTAAGTGACTGTCCCATAGTCACACAGCGGGACCAAGATATGGGTTGGCTCTGGTTCTCATGCTACCATCTCAGGCCAGGGAGTACTGAAAGTCCCTTGAGTACAGGAAGAGATTCAGTCCAACCTATGACTTCCCTCCTTCCCCAAGCAATGAAAGCCTTCTAAAAGGACAATCTGGGCAAATTATCACGTGGTGGAGTTTAGACAAAGCACGTGGTAGGGAGGGGGTCAGGCTGTTGCCACACTGTCTCCCCCTGGAAAGAGACATGCTAACTGTGAGAGCCTGGACCTCTGCAGCCCCTGCCACAGAGGTGACAGCAGAAGGGACCTGGAAGGGCACTGGGTAGCTCCCCAAACTTCTACGCTCTTTGTACCTTGACCTTCCACAACCCCAGATCCCTGCACAGGTGTGCGAAGCACAGCCTCTCCCAGCCTGGGAAAAACACATTCTTTAATGGAAAGAACAGCTAAGGATAGCTTCTTGACTCCTTCAGGTGACGGCATACCCACACTTTAGCAAGGTCATGTCTACTTGACTTCTAAAAGCTAAGGCGCCTGTTTCTGGGAATTGCTTAACAGCAGCAACCAAATACCATTTGCTGAGTGTTTCTCTGCGCTTGGCACCGTGTCAGCACTGTGCTTTACATACGTTGTCTTTCAGCCTAACACTCTTCTGATATGGTTACTATTGCTGTGATGGTTGTCATCATCTTCCCCATCTTACAGATGATGAAGCACATTCAGAGAGTTTAAGTAACTTGCTCAAAGTCACATGGCTAGAAAGTGGTGGAGAAAAAATTTGAATCTGTGTCTACCTGCCTCTGATTCCTGCTATCTCCCCAGTGATAACAACGGCGGCAGCAGCAGTTAACATGCCGTGAAGCTGTGCCAGGAAGGATACTAAGAGCCTTACATAGGCTGGCCCACCATCAGGGGCCAATAAGCAAATTGAGGCAGTATACCAGTGTATCTAAACCTTTTTCCACTCCCAAAGCCACCATCCTCAGTATCCAGATCTTCCTGACAGCCTCCTAACTGCTATAATGGCAATGTCAACCTCCCCGTCTATTCAGAGAAGGGATAGTGCAGCCAGTGTTTCCCAAACTTGACTGAGCCCCGAACTCCCCTGGAAAACTTTAAAGAGTGATACAGTCCTGGCATAGTGGCTCAGGCTTGCAATCCCAGCTTCCTTGGGAAGCGGTGGCAGGACAATTGATTGAGTTCAAAAATTCAAGGCCATATTGAGCTGCGATTGCATGTCTGTACTCCAGCCTGGGGAACAGAGGGAGACCCTGTCTCCAAAAAACAAAAAAGTAATACAGATGATTGGAACATAAGATATGCAGGTTGGGTATAAGGATCTAAAATCTAGGCCGAGCATGGTGGTTCACGCCTATAATTCCAGCACTTTGGGAGGCTGAGGCGGGTAGATCACCTGAGTTCAGGAGTTCAAGACCGGCCTGACCAAAATGGAGAAACTCCTTCTTTACTAAAAATACAAAATTATCTGGGCATGGTGGCGCATGCCTGTAATCAGCTATTCGGGAGCCTGAGGCAGAAGAATTGCTTGAGCCTGGAAGGCAGAGGTTGCAGTGAAATTTATGCTGTCTCTCTCTTTTTATTTTTTGAGACAACGTCTGGCTCTGTTGCGCAAGCTGGAGTGCAGTGGTGCGATCTTGGATCACTGCAAACTCTGCCTCCTGGGTTCAAGTAATCCTCCAGCCAAGGATTGTAATCCCAAGTAACTGGGATTACAGGCGTGCACCACCACACCTGGGTAATGTTTTGTATTTTTAGTAGAGATGGGGTTTCACCATGTTGGCCAGATGGGTCTTGAAAACCTGACCTCAGGTCATCTGCCAGCCTCGGCCTCCCAAAGTGCTGGGATTACAGGCATGAACCACCATGTCTGGCTGCTTTTTTTTATTTAAAAAAAAAATTGTCTAGGTGAGTCTGATAATTAAGTAGTTTTTTTGTTTTGTTTTGTTTTGTTTTTGAGACGGAGTTTCGTTCTTGTTACCCAGGCTGGAGTGCAATGGCGCGATCTCAGCTCACCGCAACCTCCGCCTCCTGGATTCAGGCAATTCTCCTGCCTCAGCCTCCTGAGTAGCTGGGACTACAGGCACGTGCCACCATGCCCAGCTAACTTTTTGTATTTTTAGTAGAGATGGGGTTTCACCATGTTGACCAGGATGGTCTCGATCTCTTGACCTCGTGATCCACCCGCCTCGGCCTCCCAAAGTGCTGGGATTACAGGCTTGAGCCACCGCGCCCAGCCAATTAAGTAGTTTTAAACTTTTATTTTTATTTTTATTTTTTAGAAATGACCATTGGGTTGGGTAGAGGTTCCTGGGTATTTTTATAGTCTTATGCTTTAGAATTCATATATACCATATATTTTTTTTCTTTCTCCTTTTTTCTTTAATTTAAATTTTTATTAATGAAAATACCAAATATACAAAAGTAGAGAGTATAGTATATTGAAACCCATGTAACTAACCCAGTTTCTTTCATTCTTCTTTCTTTCTTTCTTTCTTTTGAGAGAGGATTTGCTTCTGTCTCATATTCGAGACAAAATAGGTTTGCCTCTGAGGTATAGTGGTGTGATCACAGACCACTGCAACCTCTGCCTTCTGAGCTCAAGTGATCCTCCTGCCTCAGCCTCCTGAGAAGCTAGAACTACAGGTGCACACCAGCATACCCCTCTAATTTTTTATACTTTTCAGTAAAGCTGGGGTTTCGCTGTGCTGCACAGGCTGCTCTCAAATTTCTGGGCTCAAGCAGTCCACCTGGCTCAGCCTTCCAAAGTGCTGGGATTGCAGGAGTGAGCCACTGCACCCAACCTCAGCTTCAGTTCTTATCAACATTTCCCAATGTTATTTCATGTACATTTCCACTGTATTAGTTTGTTCTCACACTGCTGTAAAGATACTACCTGAGGCCAGGCACAATGACTCATGCCTGTAATCCCAGCACTTTGGGAGGCCAAGGCAGATGGATCACGAGGTGAGGGGTTTGAGACCAGCCTGGCCAACATGGTAAAACACTGTCTCTACTAAAAATACAGAAATTAACTGAGTATGGTGGTGCATGACTATAGTCCCAGCTACTTAGGAGGCCGAGGCAGGAGAATCACTTGAACCTGGGAGGCAGAGGTTGCAGTGAGCCGAGGTTGCACCACTGTACTCCAGCTTGGGTGACAGAGTGAGACTCTGCCTAAAAAAAAAAAAAAAAAAAAAAAAAAAAAAAAAGGAGATGCTACCTGAGACTGAGACTGGGTAATTTGTAAAGAAAGGAGGTTTGGCCGGGCTCGGTGGCTCAAGCCTGTAATCCCAGCACTTTGGGAGGCCGAGGCGGGTGGATCACGAGGTCGAGAGATCGAGACCATCTTGGTCAACATAGTGAAACCCTGTCTCTACTAAAAAATACAAAACACTAGCTGGGCATGGTGGCACGTGCCTGTAATCCCAGCTACTTAGGAGGCTGAGGCAGGAGAATTGCCTGAGCCCAGGAGGCAGAGGTTGCGGTGAGCCAAGATCGCGCCATTGCACTCCAGCCTGGGTAACGAGAGCGAAACTCCGTCTCAAAAAAAAAAAAAAAAAAAAAAAAAAAAAA